TTCTCGCGTCCAGACGTCTCGTTCGCCGTGCGTGCGGTAGCACGCCACGCCCACGCCCCGGCGAAGAGGCACTGGGATGCCATCCAGAAGATTCTTGGCTACTTCAAAGGGACGAGGGACCTCGGCATCACCTACCAACGGGGATCGGGGTTAGGGCTGGCCGTGTACGTAGACGCTAGCTACGCCGACACGGAGGATAGGCGTTCGGTGTCAGGGTTGGCGACGACGGTTGGAGGTACCGTAGTCAGCCGTGGTAACAAGACACAGAGCATCGTGTCTTTGCCTTCAACGGAAGCCGAGTACATTGCCGCCGGGGAGGGCGTCAAGGAGGCGTTGTTTGTGCGTGCTGTGCTTTCGTTTGTTGCCCCAGAGACCAGTGGTAGCAGCATCCAGGTCCTTGAGGACAACCAGGGGGCCATAGCGTTGGTGCAGAACCCCCTCAGCTCAGGTCGCACGAAACACATCGACGTGAGATTTCATTTCATCCGCGGAGTGTTTAGGTCGGGGATATTTCGGTCAAGTTCGTTCCGACAACAGAGCAACACGCGGACCTCCTAACCAAGGCCCTTAATAGGGCTAGTCTGCAGTACCACCGGCGCAAGTTGATGATTTTGCCGGAGTAGCTGTAGCAGTTTCTAGCACTTGGGAGAGGTCATGTTTTCCATGCGGGGAAAGGCGCATAACTGTTGCGATCTGTGTACCAATGGCAGGAGTAGGGGGCGTTGGGAGACTATCGTCCGGGGGAACGTAGTTCCTCGCGTTCTTGTCTTCGCCTTGGCCTTTCTAATAAGTGCGGCCGTTATGATCCGCTGTGATAGCGACGTTTTTTTTGTGGTGGTAAGGGTTTTTTCTAGGGGTTTCGCCCGGACGCCGGGTTTCCCCTCCATATATTGCCATGTTGGTATTTTTTTATGTATCCAGGGGCGTTCTTGCCCAATTGATGGTTAGTCACTTGCGTGCAGAACCAGGGACGTTGTTCGTGGGTCTGCGAACATTGGTGTTGGATACATGTGCTGGGTGATTTGGTGTCACGCAGACTGGTAAGGTTGCCGTTTGGTAGGGGGCACCGCGATGATTCACGGGGCCCCTCCTTGCTGTGGGAGCCGCTCTTTGAGCACTCCCTCTTTCGTCCGTGTGAAGGACGGTCGTCTACCTCTCGTGAAGTTAATACATCACCTAAACAGTCTCACCCGATAAATAAGCGGCGTAGGCCGCAAACAGCTGTCGCAGACATCGGCCGTGGTGTATATCTCGGTAGAGGCAGAATCTAGTATGAATCTACGACAACTGCTGTCAGTGTTGTTGTGTACACCCCAACTCTCTCCATCAAACATGTTGTTTGTTGCTGTTGTTGTCTTCATGCTAGAAACTAAACACCGTTCCGATCTCTCTATCCACTTCGTATATCCCTCCGTCTGCCGTACTCATCTGACACGCCGTCGACTGATTCCCATGAATCTACAAAGAAAATAAACAACAAAAATCTTAAACCCCTGGCCGACACACAATTTTTCTTTTCTTGTCTTCACTTCAAATCACAGCAGTTGTACTTGAGCCGTTTACTCCAAACCGTGGTCACAAGTAGACCATTCACGGCAGTCGCTGAAATTCGTCATGTGCAGGACTTGCCGCGAGAGGGGTGATAACTCGCGTTATACATACCCCACACCGTGCGAGCTCACCTCTCCTTCAAATGCAGTAGGAATAATCCAACTGATTTCTCCTTCGAATCCAGTAGGATTAATCTAACTGCAACTACATGTAACACTGCAACGAACGAACGGATGATCGGAACGTATTACAGTGTGCATACCACCATGTTAAACAAATTCTGTAAAACATACCGGATGCTACGTTGCATACAACAAATTGTTTCGATGTCCCCTGTCTGTGGTGCGACGGCACTGACATGATTCGAGAGGTATGTACCTGTTGGAAACACACACAGATAGATGCTGATACTCACTCGAGCGGCGGACGACAGTGTATTATGTAGCCGCCACGGGGCGAGTAAGCCTTTATCTTTTTGACAAAATTCATCTCTGGACTACAGCAGCAGTACATCCACAGAGAAGAATGAGAAAGCACCCTTCTCTACAGAGCCCCTGAAGTAGCAAGTGGTTCTCCTGGAGATAGATGTGACGAGGAATTGCGAAGCGTGGCCGAGGTATTGTTTTTGTATTCAAGCAGGGCTACGATAGTGTGAGAGTGAGATCCATCCGAGATTCATCCGAGATTCATCCGGATGGATGGTCACAATCTGCGGCAAATCTTTCTTGGTACCAGTAGTCATATTTCGACCGGTAAGAAATTGTTCGTGTTAGTCTTTAGATGTTTAACTGGTAGTTGGTTGGTTTCACCTGAGTGAGTGTCGCGTCTTGCACGGGAGCTCCCAGGACTAGGCGCATGATCCAAGGTTCCGGTTCCTCCTTGTTGTCACGCGCCTGCTTCAAGCTTGAGATGATGAAGGGCGCCAAGAAGTTCCCAGCAGGGGCAGGAATGGAGGGAGCAGCAGTGGTGGCTGCTTGTTGGAGATTCGCGAGAACGTCTGCAGCCAGTGCGCGTGTGGGGTCGTCCGGAGGGATCTCTCCTTCCTCGCGACCGCCGGCCTTGCTGGGTGAGTTCTCTTCTCCCAGTGCTGCGAAGCGGTTGCTGGGGTCACCCCCACCACTGTTGGAGCTGCCACCTCCATTGCTGGAGCTGCCACCCTTCCCAGTTCCGTTGCGGGCGGCGCCAGCGTAGTCTTTAGAGCTGGGAGAAGCGTCACCGGTGGCAAGCCGCTGGGGCTGTTTACCGTTGGTGGACGGTTTCTTGACAGACTGCTGTGTAGACTGCAGCGGAGGACTGGGTTTGGGGTTGTGCGAGGGGGTCTTAAGAGCGCCGTTACCGGCGTCCGTGCCTGCCTGCGAGTTCGAGCCGGCTTTGTTGTCTCTCTTGTTCTTGTTGCCCATGTTGAAAAATGGAACAACAGGAACAGACACGCAGAAACCGCTCTTCGTCGAAGCCAATATGAATACCCTCAACTCAGTGTGAGCGGAGGTCCCAAAATGGCGAGGTGGTATATGCCTACCACCGAAGGCTGGCTGATTTCCTTTGGTGCAATGTGACGAGGAATGTCAAGCGGTGGTTGAGCATACTCAGCCAAGGCCAGGGTAAGGTTGCGAGTGGGCGCCGGCTGAGACCCTTCCTGGGTTCTCGGTACCAACCATAAAGATCCATCCCGACTCAGGTCGGGGTGAATAACCCACAAAGTAAAGATCCAGAGCAGAGCGATGAATTATCGTCTGTCGGATGTTTTTCACTCCCTTTGTATGTGCGTGTGTAAGTATAAGAAGATACGAATATCCTGGCCTCCACATTTGTATGTATTTATTTGCGTTACACCACGAGGAGGGTACCTGAGATCCCTACCTGGTACCGATGCAACAACTTTTTGAAAATGCAAATTACTTTTGGTTGTTTTCACTGATGATTTAGCTCAATGTCCACCCGCCCGTCGTCTACAGCTGTAAGCGTGTGTGTGTAGAGTGTAGAGCCTGCACACCCACGCAACACCTGCTGGGTGTGACTCTAAACTCTGCATGTAGTGTACGTACGGACGCACACATACATACGTAGTGAGTGCTCGTTGTGTTCCGTCGAGACGGACCTACCTACCTATTGTTTGCGACGACGTAGACGGCGGGAGTGTCTCACGCAAGCCCTCCAAGATATGAAATACTGTGATGAAATGCTGCGCTATTTCGTACTAGATGTTTCCGGTGGTTGGCGTGCGTCTGTCTGTCTGTCTGTCTGTCTGTCTGTCTGTCTGTCTGTCTGTCTGTCTGTCTTTCTGTCTTGTCTCTTTCAGCTCTCTCTCGAGAGCGACAACTTCCGGGACAAACTTCGCATCGATCGACAAAGTACCCCCGAATGCAGCAGCACCAGCAGCACCAGCAGCACCAGCACTAGCAGCAAGTATCGGCCCACGATGAAGAATAATCGTCAACATCGGTCAAAGGTGAGTGTCTCATAATAACAAACATCAAATCATGTCGCCACATCGATCGGAAGGATGCAGACTATTGTAGATGCAAAGAAGCAAATCCATCAGCAGAAGCAGAAGAACTGTACGCAAAATCATTGCGTTCATTTCAGAGTAGTCCAATCCGCTCAATCAAGAGTCACGCTGACAAAATAAATTCAATACCCTGGGGTTGTCCAGGCATCTTGGTAAAAAAAAGTAGGGATTCCCCCTATGGAGCAAGCTAGCGGTGAATGAAGCAGAATAATTGGCGGGAATATGCGGCACAGAATATCATAAAGAAAATGCCCCGTTTTAAGGATTCATTACGCCTGCTAATACCTACCTACCTGTCATCATGTGACGTGCGCTGTTCTTTCGCGCCCCCCCCTCTAAACATCATCTTGCTACATGGTAAGCGGCATCGCGCCCCCCCCCTCTAAACATCATCTTGCTACATGGTAAGCGGCAAATACCTACGTTAGACCGCTTTGGGCCTTCACCTCCTTCCACCATTATCATTAAATGAGGGTAGGGGGCGACTCTCGCGTTGGCAGAGCCGTTTGAATTGTATGGTAACTGTACACAAATCATATCTTCACCCTGAAGTACTGCTGTACTGACTGTACTGAACACTACGCCCCTACTAGTCGAAAGCAGAGCAACGAACCGCACAGAAAACAGAATGATAGCAACGCTAAATCAATGAACCAAAGGTGCAAACAGAGCCACACATAACGTACACAAAAAATGTTCGAAGAGCAGACACTCCTACTGCTGCTGTGAAAGAAACATTCTCATGTCTGATTGCTGGATGGACTGGTTTATTTAGCGGCGTGGGCTGCGAGGAACGACATCTTGGCCTTGCGAAGAAGATGCTCAGCCTCGTTATTTCCAGCCGACAGTGCGTACTGCTCTAGTGGACCGGAAACTTCCGACAGATCCGAGTACGGCAGCGTCGCCATTAACTTCCTACCCCCAGCACTCTCAACCTCGCCCGTGTCGTTCCTACTCGTCGAATCGGAGTCCTCTGAAAAGTTGTCTTTTATCTGCTCATCGAGCGCCGCCTGCGCGTCCGCGGCGAGAGCCTTATCCACGTCATCCTGCTCCTCTAGCTGCACCCCAAGACTCGACCTCCTCAATGGCTGCCGGGGTGGCGGGCTTACTTACCCGGGACGATGCCGAGGTACGAGAGCACCTCGCACATCTCTGGGTCGTGTTTACCACCTCCCCCCACAGCTACCTCCTTCACGCTCATAATGAGCGCATTGAGTGCAGCCGTCAGTCCCGCCACCCCTGAATCCCCATGACCTTTGATGCTCCCCTTGCCTTTGTCTTGCGTTATACTCCCTCTGTCCGAGAATATAAGCAAGGTTTGGACAAAAAGCAATAGAACTCGTGTCTGCCGAACTCTTTTTCCGAACGGTTTTTTTTTCTGGTTCCGCCGCACTGGCGCGCAGCGCGCAGAACCGCTGCTCTTTTCACACCACCTCAACAAAGTGTGTTGCACCCCAGCACAACACGCCCGATTTCACCACCCCAACTTTGGAGCCCCGGTCAAACGCCTTCCCGTCTGCTGGCGGGACATGTCTGCTGCTGGGAGTGCCTCCCAGGGGCTCAAACGCAAGAATTTCAACGTTTCGGAGAGAGAAGAGGTGGTACGCTACCTTCTCGCCGACAGCGAAGACGGGGTTCGGCTGGGTATGCCAAAATTCCGCCTTTTCCCGGACCAGGGGATGGTAACGCACCATCCCCCCCCCATCGAGCGGATTTTTTTTTTCTCTCTCCAATGTCATATGTGATCGTTTGCCAAAGTTGTCCGACGTCCACCGTGCCCAAATGGCACGTTTCCGTCAATATTCTTCAAACCTTGCTTATATTCCCGGATTTCCAAACCTTGCTTATATTCTCGGACAGAGGGAGTATTGTCCTTTACAGCGGCACATTACCGCTATAAAGGATTCGTTCCTCAACAGCGGCGCAAGTACCGCTATTGAGGGATGCATTCGTGCCAAGCGATTTTGTTGCCGTTATAGAGGGCATCTCGCTATTGAGGGCACCGCTATTGAGGACCGTGGACGGTATAGACTACATAAACCAACCACGATCGGGTTGGTAGCTTTCACATGCACAGCAGGAGTGGTCGTAAAATATCATGTGCTGCTGCGAGCTGCGATGCGGTTCCAGCGATCCACCAACCATTAGATCGGGTTGATAGGCACTCTGTCTTCTTCGACATGCGCAGGATCAGTTGATGGATTTTTCGATATTTAGACGAAGTGCAACATGCGTGTCATTTTTTCACCTGGGACCAGTCCCCCAGGGTTCTCCAGTCATCCAAGCCGTTCTCGCGGATGCTCTTCCTCAGAACTTCCAGTTCGGCCGCGGTCCACGCCACGGCGTCTGTGCCACTGCCACCACGGCCACCGCCCCTGCTCATGGCGGTATTGCAACCGGCCGCCGACCTCGAAGCGGTGCGATGTGGCTGTGCAGTGTCGGGGATGAGCGAAGCGGAAATTTCGTGAGCTTCTATTCCACACATAAATGTGAGAACACGGGGTTCGTGCCTCCTCTCCGGCTTCTCGGTCGTTCGTTCATCTCACGTCTCAACGTCTTGCCGAAGAGAGTCTTGCGAGGGGGGGGAAGTTTCCTTCTCCAACCCAATATTCTCTATGAAACAACCACCGCACCAGCACCAGCAGTAGCACGGGCACCGTATTTGAGATTCGGTGACGTCACAGCAAGACCAGCATGTTGACCAACATGTTGATGAACCTTGCACATGCCCCGCCCAGTTGAAAAAACAAATCTTTAGGTCAGGTTTTGAGCGGGCGATCTTTTGTATTTCTGCGCTGTAGAGATGCACCGATGTGATGCATGCGACGACGATGATGGCTGTAGATGCAATGCTACCTACACATGCATGTAGCGCGCGCATTGAAAAAACAAAGGGAGAACAAGACGGGGTTCGTGATGCGTTTCCTCGGCCCAGGGCCTGCCTGATGCTTTCAAAATCGGGCATCTTAGGTAGCCAACAGGCTGTTCGAAAGCCACTTGGTCGCCACAACCAACCCAAAATTAGACGAGTATTGTTGTTTTTTTTCCTGCACATATACTCGTGTCAGTTGCTAATCCCAAAATCTAGCAAAGACTCGGTCCGTGGTCACAAAAATGCCAGAGCATCAGAAGATCTAAAGAACACACACACTAATAGCAAGAAAAGGGTACACAAGCCCGAGGAGGTACACCTACAATCTTTGCAGCACGTTTGTGTGCTCACAACTGAACTACACGCCCACACACTGCAATTCGACTAGACAACAGCAGCATCACCCCCCTTATCTCGCACTCAACCAAAATGAATGTCGACTACAGCGTACTGCTGTCAGAAGTGCTTCCTGTGCAATGATAACACCATAATGTATGGAGAGCGATAGATGTTCTGTCTCCTTGCAGTTCATCACCGGCATCATGTGTCCTCGCAAAACATTCGTCCTGGTTTTTTTTTTCGCTCGGGCGACACATGGCAGGGTTGGGTGGATCTAAAGGGATCGCGTGAGAAATGCAGCGTACTACTTACTGCTGTAGAGAAGAGAAAGGCTACTCCTGTGAATTCGTATCGAGATTCGTCTACTCCTGTCTTGAGATTTGCACCCAGGGCTACTGTGATTACAGGACACAGCGCAACATGCACGGACCGTTGTTTTCTGGGGTTCCCACACACTCCTTGCCAGAATATATTAGTCTATATCTCTCACTGAGATGGCTCTGCAGTTGCAACCGCGACACCACATGGTACGTGGTGTTGCTGACGGCACCACAGGTTATTGTGTGCGCAGAGCGGGTGCTTGAAAACAGCTCCGAAAGTTGAGAGAAAGCAGCAGGCCCGAGGTACAGACCTACCTACCCGTCGGGTGACGAATCCAGTTGGCCGATGATGCACGTCTTGTGCGCTGGAGCAGCAGCGGTGTGTGGTGGTAAGGGAATTGTGGCTGCTCCCTCCTGCTATGCTAGGAACCAGACAGTGCAGGAGGCAGAGAGAGGCGTGGACCCAAGGTATTTCGAGGTGTGGTGTGTTTGGGATTTGAAGTTGTTGCGTCGAGGGTGGACTTCTACTGGTTTATGTGTGTTCAAGCTGCAGCAGCACACAGTTACCGGTCATTTATTCGGCCGGTTAGATTATATTTTCAGGAAGTGTGGGCCGACCGGTGACGTCAAGTGACGCTTCAATCTTCGCAAATTCCAGTGGATCTTCGAAGAAAATGTATGATACCTCGAAGTGCTACTTGTTTCGTTAGCGGACCGCCCGCCAGACTACTGGAGATGAATATACTCCCGCCGAAACATGGACTCAAGATCTATGTGCTTCCTCGTTGTCTGTCTGTGGTCGATGTGGAGTGTAGTAGCAGGATGTAGCAGGACCGTACGGTGAAATAGTAATTCATCTATTTTTTTTCATTTTTCTTAATATGACACAACGAGTCCATCTCTATCATTGATAATTGATCTAGTTTTGTTTCCCGCCCTGAACGGCAACAATGGCGGCGGCACATTGTATTTTTCGAATTGTTAGTTCAACTATTTGCTCCAAACAATTTTGATTTAATGAAGCGACGCGTTCACCACACCCACTTACCCATCCATCGTCCGTTCTCCACCTGTTACATACCATGAACTGCCTGCCCACGAGCGCGCGTGCGTATGTATGCATACGGAAGCATGAAGTATGGATGTATATGTAGGGTGTCTCTCCTTGTTGCATATTTGTACGTAGTCTGAGTGCTGCAGAATTATTCTGATGTTGTTCGGAAAACACAATTTCGTTTGAATGGTTTTCTTGTTTTTAGGACCCTTGGATGTGTGTGTGGCGTGTGGTAGCGGTGATTCTAATATTTTGGAACCCTGTAGGACAGCAGTATGTGTAGGTGGTCGGGGATCGCATTAAGCGCAGTTTGTTTATGGAACAGCCAACCCACAGGACGACCAAGGAGTTGCGCGAACGAGTGCTAGTTCATAGGCACATTTATTTTGCTGCGTGCTAAAAAGGGCGAGCAGTGGTAATGCGAGACGCACCAGCCACCACCACCCTGTCTATGCTATGTAAAGTCCACATTGATTGCCCCCCCTGTCGGGGGCTTGTATAGTTCATAATGATGGCTCACCCTGTGTGTGTGTATGTGTTTATTATTAGCATCGACCGTGCTAACCGGCTGACCAATTAAAAGACGTCAGTGCCAGCGGGTAAAAATCAAGGTCCCTGGAAGGGGGCCAAAATTCGAAAAATGCGCAATGCCCTTGATGGGAATGCCAATACGACTCTCTTTACATGTTCTTTCACGAAGACACACATCTCAGCTACACAAATGCCCTCGCTCGAATCTAGGAAGCCACTGATGCAAAGTGTGTGTGTGTGTGTGTGTGTGTGTGTGTCTGTGTGTTTTCGTCCTATTTATTATGGCGACAGTTCCCCCATTTTTCGTGGTGAGAAGTGTACTAGTCTACCCTTTTCAGCGTATGTAGAGTACCACACTTTTCACTGTATTTTTTCGTACAGCTACAACCACCCTGTCGGGAGCTTGATTGAACACAAGTATGCACAAGTGCACGATTATTAATCTGCCTACCACAAGCACTCTTTCTTATCCTCGCACCTTAGAAGAAGCGCCATGGCACAGCAAGACAGTCCGCAAGATAGTCCGTTGGAGGCAACCAATGTTCGGATGATACGTGTCAATGCTACTGTTTGTTGTGGATTGAATCTCCATGAGCCAGCTGTTGCTACTACCGCTCGTGTCTCCTGTTTTCAACCGTTTTTTCCCTTTTTGTATTTTTCCCGGGAGAAGGGGTGGAGGCTTGTATGGTGCACGCAGCTCTACGGAAGCGAGAACTTATGGTACGGCGGTGGCAATAAACGCTGATATCTACACACAAGAGTATGGTTCGCCGCCGGAGTTATGTAGACTACATGTAGAACATGGAGGTATCCAGCCCTTCGAGACACTTTACAAACTCGTTGTTTTCCCGCCACTCCCCACCGCGCCCTGTCTCCTCCATCTATCCTAGCGCAACGGCGATGATGATGCCGCCGCCGTTGCGGCCGACGAAGCCAGAAGGCTGCACCAAGTGCCGTAAACCGCCACCATGAGCAACGAGATCGCAAAGCAGGCGCCGTACAGCGCGTCGGACCGCCCGGGCTCCCCGTCGCCGTCGCCGATGCTGTTGCCACTGCTACCGCTGGGGCCCAGAAGCAACGCGATGCACGCGGGCACCAGCATCTCTCCGAGAGCACCCCCGACCACGAAGTGGGATGAGTTTTTTTCCGAAAGGGCGTATCCTTCGAGTGGGCATCAAAAATGAATGGTTCGGGGGCAAGCCGACGACGGAAACGAAAAAGCAAGGGACAACGGTCTCCAAGTCTTGCGCGGAGTAATCCACATATAGCATGTTCAGACCATATCGTCACGTTGGACTCACTGTATGGATATGCGTATGTACCAGAACCACGAGAGAAAACACAACAAAAACACAGATTAGCCGCTCTCCGCATTCATTTGCACGTTGATGGCACAGAGGGGAGGTCCGTAAAAACTCGGCACAACGATAGGGCCGGGGTATCCAATGGCGTGTGAGTGATAAACGGTCGGGCTCTCTCTTCAGGCAAAAACAGCTACCTTTCGGCGTTGCATCCAGGAACAAAACTACCAGGCAATGAATGCCTCATCATCTTTCATCGGGGACGGTTCTGAAGCGATTCATCGGCAGCGTTCTGAAACGAAGAATAGCAACCCTCATTGTGATACCACGTCCGGTAGCAACACTCACCACCACCCCCATATCACCGACTTGTTGGTGCTCCAAGGACGAGGGAGTTTTCGGCCGGCATGAACCTTGCTTGACTTGCAGGTTTCAACGATCGGAAGGTTGTTGCCGACCCTAACAGAGGACCCCCACAAGTCGCGTACAACGAAACAAAACTCACCAGCTTCAGGTAGCAGGGACATGGCCAAAGGGTACGTGGAGGCCATGGACAATCCAAAACCTGCGGCTCCCATCGCCGCCCACACAAAACCATCCTGCCAGAAGTCAAGGGCGCAGACAGATGTTTTTCGCCGTCCGTCCGTCCGTCCATCCGTCCGTCCGTCCGGCAATCGATTGGAAGACACAATCGACGGGAAGACGCGAGGCAAACAGGTCGAGGAAAAGAGGAGGGGGGACATCAAACCCCCCTGGACAATCGAGGCAAAGCACCCGGCACACGCGATGCGAGTTCCCGCGCCCGGCTGCAAGGGCTCCATCTGCTGCTACTGTAGTTACTTTGCTTCAGAAACTTACGGGTATGATGCCCCAATGGTGGCGATATGGCAAGACTACGGGCGTCAAATGGACGGTTCGCCCTCCTTTCCTCTCCGATTCGCCAAACAAGCCCCCCCCACCCCCACCTCCTCGCGAAGAACGGATTCGTATTACGGAATGTCCATTATACGGCAAAGACAGAGAAATGTACACGACCGAGCTGGGAACAGTAGATATGTACATGACTGAGCTGGGAAAAGTATAAGGAAGCTTGGAAGGGAATTGTTAGAGGCGCCAAAAAGCCAGGAGAAGACGGCACCTGTAGTGGGGCAGACGAGGTGGGTTGGAGAGGCGGGAAGTGCTGTCCATATGGTACATAGGCCATAGGGAGAAACGTTCTTGGGCCACCTTTGGCACAGTAGGAAGGAACAATTGAGATTGGTCCCGCGGGAACAATGCTCTGTCCTCTCGAGGACGCGTGGTCAACGATCCGAACCGCTACACCCGGGTTGCAAGTCACACAAAAAGCAAAAACAAATCTGACAAAGGGGCTCCGTGGAAATCGACGGTACCCCGCTTGAGCCCCCATGATGTGTTGCCCTGTGACACGATCTGGTGCACATCTTTGTCACCGCTGGTACTCCCCACACATATGGCTGCAGCCTATGAACTCAGCAGGATACCTTAAGCATGTAATGTTCCAAACGCGCAGACATTTGGTTTGCCCTGATTTCGCTCTAAACCTGGCGAATGTCATGTGATAAGAAGTGAAAGAGCTGCTGCTTCAAGCCCGTTCCGCAGCTGTCAGCATCAATCTGCACGCTGCTATACACCTGCGAAGGAGTTGACGAACTCGCGAGTGAATTACATGGGTATAGGTAGCATTGAGGGGGGGGGCGTACTCTTATGTTTTGCATGTCTTAGCGGTTAGACCATTGACCACGCGTCCTCGAGAGGACGGAGCATTGTTCCCACAGGACCGATCACCGATGGCCAATCGTTCCTTTCTACTTTGCCAAAGGTGGCTCAAAAATGTCTTCCCTAGTCTGTCTATCCTAACGATATCCCTTCCCGCCTTTTCAATCCACCTCCTATGCCCCACTACAGCTACCGTCCTTTCCTCTCTATTCCATGCCTCAAACATCTCCCTGTACGTTCCATCTATTTTTCCCAGCTCAGTCACGTACACTTCCCTCTCCTTGTAGCATTGAGGGGGTGGCGCAATTTTGGGTCGCCACTACGAGGGTCGTTCCTGTGGAGCACTCTATCGCCTGCATCGGCCAAACACGCCCTATGTGTCAACCTCCAATTTTGTTTGCAATTCTCGGGCAAGATCCCCGAAATCTGACTTTCAACGTACTCCTTCAAGAAACGATTCAGTTCAATTTTTCCAAGGCTCCCCTCGGTAACGATTTCTCAGTTCGGTGACCATTGGTATGGGAACCAGCGACTACGGTACTGGCCATCATGGTAGCATTTGGGTGGTAACTGGCCAGCACGGTGATGCACGGTAATTTTTGGGTGGTAACCGCCCACCACGGTAATTCCCGTATGGGAGCTACCCACCACGGGAACGCACGGTAATGTTTAGGTGGTAACTCGGCACCACGGTAATGCACGCGGTAACGGGCCACCACGGTAATGCACGGTAACGTAGGATGAAACACTCCACACGGACGATGCACTGTAATTGTGTTGCGCTTTTTTCAGTGCGTGTGACACCCAAACAGCGCGTTCCACGAAGACAAAGAACACGACACACACGAGTGACCTATCGCACTTCGTGTCGCATTTCGTTTTTCAAGTGTTTTGAGACTACAGGCGAAATCTCGCAGTCAAGTTACTGAAAGACCAGGCAAGAGATAAAAGACAACGAAAGGACAAAATAAATGAACGTCATCATGTACGTCCAGGGCGACACCTCGAAATCCAACACTTGATCATTAACCTTAGCTACGTGAGGATTGAACGCATCAATTGTATCTGCGAGAGATGCATGAACCACCAGCTACCACGTAGTACACGCATATCGAGCTTAACCACAAGCAAATTCTTACCGCCTGTATACACTATCTGTGTCACATCGCAGGCAAGCAGTTCAAACACAACAAAAAAGGTTCTCCTTTCATTTGATCATCAAAGAGAGATCACAAAAGAGCAAAAAAAATCACCTCAACCCTAACCCTAACCGAATCCGCGACCTACCGTGCCAAAAATGTGCAGGCAGCCCCCTCAGCTACATATACGGTAATTGACGTGGCGTTCCCGTCTGGTATTGGAAATTCTATATCTGCGCGGCAATTCTTGGGTGGTAACCAAAAGCCACGGGATTTCGACATTTTGCACGGTAATTGGTTGGGTGGGAACAACGGGATTTCACTTTCTTGGTAACGATCAGGATGGGAATGGGAGAAGGCTATTTGCTTGGTAATGATTTGAATGGGTACGGTAACAGGGGATCATCACGGTAACGTTACCAGTTGCCGTTCCCGTGGAATTCCCGCGGGAAAAGTACCGCGGGAAAATTCCCGAGAGGAGCCTTGGAAGTTTTTGATGACACCATGCTGTAGAGACATGCCTAACGATGCTTTAGAGGGTTGGCAACATTTTGGATCGCCACTATAGCCGGAGTTGTTGATGAACAACGGCCGGTCCCATGGGAATTCGGCCGCTGTGGGGGCTTGGCGTGATTGATGCCTTGTCGTAATAGAATAAAATCAAATGCTTTTTGTCGGGACTTGCAACCCGGATGGCTAAGTCATGCAAAGTACGAGAGTACGCCC